TGATTAAACCACTGAGCTATCCAGCAGTTACAACTAACTTCAGACCTTGTTGAGTGTTATAGAGTACACTGGCATAGGTGTGAATATGGCTATTCCTTTCTGCACTTGCAAATGACTGTGGTACAAAGTTGGGTCAAAGTGAGAGTTGGCTTACCTAAAAGTCTCTTCATGGGTCATCTGTCTTTCCAGCAGAGTGACTTCCTCAGTCTTCATTTTCTGAATCAACCGCAGTCTTCATTTTCTCAATCAACCATTTCCCGTCACTGTTTCCCCACTCATTAGAATTGGCACAGGAGAAATGTATGAAGCAAGTTTGATTTATGTAATGAGTACATCCCACTGACTTGAATGGACTAGGCATCTTATAGCTAATTAAAAAAGGCACCATCACTCAGTTAAATTTCAGTGGAATTATCCTGTTAATTGCTGTTCACATGAGCCAGTTTAGCTAACTGTTCCCATCTCCCTCTTTTCTCTCCTAACTGCTAAACCATGGCAAAGAAGGGCTTCATATGTACAGCAGAAAGCCTCTAATGCCAGGAATTACTAAGCTGTGCACTCCTACTGAAATGCCACCGTTGGGTTGATGCGTCTTGCCTACTAGTTCCACACAATGGGATCATTACACAGAAACAATGCCAGCTCTGGAAATAAGTTGTGCTCCATTATTACAGTTTTTTTCTTAAGGTTGCTGGAACATAACTATCTCACCAACTAATCTTGAAAAACACTCTAAGTACTGGAGAAATAAATAAAGCACAGGATTGGGAAAGCTTTTGAAACATTTTGTGTAGTGGCCAATAGGTGTGAAATGCAGCTCAGTCCAAATTTGTTGAGTCAGAGCTCTATGAAAGTGCAGCCGTGCTTGCTTCACACTAATAGTATTTGGTTTATATGAATACTTCTCCATATAGTGTAATAAAGGAAAATTTAGAAGGACCCAGCATTCCCATTCTTAATGCTGCCGAGAATCAATGAGCTACTCACCTTCTGATGTTTGTTTTGCTCTTACAGCCAGTGCATTATGAAGAAAAGAACTGGAGTTCAGAACAATATTCTGGAGGCTGCTACACAGCGTATTTTCCACCAGGCATCATGTCCCAGTATGGAAGGTGAAATTAGATACTTTTTTTGATAGTGTTATAGGACATCAGTGAACAATAAAACTTTCTAAATGTAAAGCATAGTACTCTTACCATATTTTCCAAGCATTTAATTGCTGGCATCTTGCAGAATAACTAATTTCTAATAACAAAAGCTTTTATGAATCTTGTGCACTTCATTCGACACATGAAGTGTTATCATCTGGTTTGTAGAAATACAGACATGTTGTTGAATGTTCATCCACATTCCACATTCTGCCAAAATTAGTAAAGATAGTTCTCATCTATGGTCAAACTCTTAAAAATGTCTATGAACATAGGAAGACAGGATAAGTAGTGCCCCAGCTGGCATCGCCACTTTTCTCCCTGAGGTAAAGTCAGATTAAGTTAATAAATGTGAACACATGAAAAAATGCAGAGAAATTCCAGAGAGGTGGGGATTTGCTAATATTTTCACATTCCTTGTGAACATCTTTGTTGTTGCTGCTGCTGTTGATTTCTTCTCCTAAGAACATCAAACACGACACTAGCACCTTACTACACATATTCTAGCTTCTTCATCCTTGGTACATCATACCAGCATTTCATAAAAAGCCATTACCTGCAAGTTGGAGGGTTATCTCTATTCTCATAATAATCCATGTGGTGATATTTGTTTTAAAGGGTAATTCGCCAGCCAGCAGGTCGCATCTACTTTGCTGGCACTGAGACAGCTACTCAGTGGAGTGGCTACATGGAAGGGGCAGTGGAAGCTGGAGAAAGAGCAGCCAGAGAGGTAAAAAGAAGTCCCTCCCCCCAAAGAGTTTTGGGCTCTTGGTATTCACATCTGAAATGCTATTATTACGTAAAAGAAAGAAGGCATATCAAATTAGGAAGGCTGATTAACAATGATGCACAATAATGTTTTTTCATCATGAAAGAGTGTGCCTCCTTGAGTTTAATTGCTAAAAGAAACAGGTTTTAAGTATAAGTTTAATTTTTCAGACAAAACCAGAATAATTTGAATGGCATGGTCAAATTCAGGCTTTTTCAATATTCTACAGTTTCAGTGATCGTTCAGGGCTAGTCAAATACATGAGTGTAATTCCTTAGGAAACTAGTAATTCCTTAAGAAATTAATGTCTCACAGTCATAAAAATGCATAATTCAACTATCGAGCAGCTAGCTCTTCTATGTCATATTGTATTTTTCTTGCCATGAATTGTTATGTTATAAGTATTTTTAATAAACAGTTTCTGATCTCCCATGCAAATGAGAGTATTATGTATGACCCAACTGACCATCTTCAGCCATCTGGATTGGTTTGCAAATTGCTTAGAATAAATAACAGGGTTTGATTTGAAAGGATTGGCTATGTGAATGATTGTAGCTTACGGAATGTTTACATGTTTTATATTTTAAAAATTCTGAATTCATTTCCCACTATATTATGGGCTGGGCCAGAGGCAGAGCAGCAAATGACTTTCCACCCACCCCAAATACATAGACTTTGCAGAATCCAGATGTGTGGAACTGCATCTGCACTATACATGGAACAGAAAGATGTTACCTTTTGTGATATTTTAGTCTTTTACTGTATCATTTTTATGATATAAAAGAATAATCGTGCACAGTATAATTTTCTGTTTTCAATTCTCCAGGTATTGTGGAGCATGGGGAAAATTTCAAAGAATGAAATTTGGGTAAAAGAACCAGAATCGAAGGCAAGTGTTTTCTTAATTGCCTTGCTAGAAATCCTGAATACAACATTCTTGATGCATTACCTAGATTATATGACCTCACTGATGTAATTTCTTGGCATACTATGAGGAGGATGCCTCATGCAAAAACCTTCGACCCACTTTTTAGTGAAGGATTGTACTTCTTTCACCATTTTATACATGCATATGAATTGATACGGCTATTCTTTCTCTATGTGAAACAGTTAACTTGGAAGTGTCTCTGAGATTTCATGTGTAACCTGCAGCCTGCTGGAGAGGCATTATAGTGGTACAACTGGGAGTAGCCAGTAGGGAATAAAATGGGTTCTCTATCCTACTGGATTTGAGGGTATGATTGGTACTGTCAGGGATCACTGGTTGATATTTCAGCTCAAGGAATGAAAAGATATACAGGAAATATGTATTTGAACTCCTTTTCAGTCTGCAATATTAGGTCCCTAATTTCCCTTTCTATCTTGGTTTTACAATGGGATTTACCAGCTTAGAATGGGAATGATTTCTCCCTTGCAGGTAGAAAGGCAGCCTAGAAATGAAACAAACAAGTACGTACAAGAACAAAGTTCTTCCCCATCTTGTCATTCTCCCACACTTGTGCCCCAGATTGCTCATCTCTACCCCATGTCACCTCTCTATATCTGCTTCTAGTTCCTAATATCCCTTGTCAAATCCAACTGTAACTGTCACCTTGAGTGTTATATGGTTTGGATTAAGAGTGTGATCATGTGGCATATAGCTTGCATTTTTTGCAGATTCTCCCACCATTGTTTAAACTTGACACTTTATTGTCCCTTGTCAAGTCCAACTGTAACTGTAACCTTGAGTGTTATATGGTTTGGATTAAGGGTGTGATCATGTGGCATATAGCTTGCATTTTGGACTGACTGTGTTGTGGTCTGGTGTGAGCCATTTCCCAGCTATCACATGATATATAGGCAATAGCACTCTACTGGACCCTGATCCATGCCTAAGCTGGATCTTTTTGGTTCAGCAGTAAGGCCTTTACTTTTGGAAGCTGGGCTGGAACAATTCCACAGTGAACAGAAGAGTCACTTTTAGGGAGATTGCACCCATTAAAAGGAACCCTTTCCAGTGCACCTTTCTTGCCATCTGATTGCACCTTGAGTAAACAAACATCAGGAAGGGAGCTTGCTACCTTTCGTCTCTGTCATCATTCTCCATGTGCAGAGGGCAATGGTACAAAGAGGAGGGTCTTCTGTACATATGTGTAAAGGTTCTCTATGTGATCAAGAACTCTGATTTTTCAGGGTTTGCAATTGTGTGAACAATCTCCACACACAAAGGGTGATTATTCTCCATGGGAGAAGAGGGAAAAACAGAGGAGGGCAGACTAGTGTGTTGTCTTATGCTGATGTAATCTTGAACAGGTGTTGTTGGGTTGTCACTTCCAGTGTTTGTCATTATTGGCTCTGCTATATAGTAGAGGGTTGATGGGTGTTGTGGTCTAAAAATATCTAGAAGGCGCTCTAGAACATATAATGTCTGAATAGGATTCATGTTTTCCAGGTCCTAATCCAAGTGGTGGCTACTTTTTTTTTCTGGTGCAAGCAGATGGAATGTGTCTGTTTTGGTTCAGTTCCGGCATGTGTGATCACTGGGTTTGAACCAGAGTGGCTGACTGGCTGTCCCTTTGCTGAAACTGCTTAACAACCTTGAGAAATGAGAAGCTTCCTTGCTGCATGCCTATGGAGGGGAAGGGAGAATAAATTTTCCATTTCTTTTTAATTATTGCTTGATCATCAGCAATGCTTTGAAAGGGTTCTTTTTCCCCAAAAAGCCTTTTCTAAGCATCATCGATGTGCTGTGTCAGCACCGGTTAAGAAGAAAGAGAAAACTTCCTCTTGCTTCTCCTCTACATGTGAGCAGCAAAGAAGCTTCCCATTTCTCAAGATCATTAAGGAGCTTAGGTAAAGCATGGAAGAGCAGGAGAGGGTTTTTTTGTTGTTGTTTGTTTTTCTTTGTTTTTCTTTTCTCTCTGCCTTTAAAAGGAAAAAATTGTCAAGGTTGCTTAAGATATGGTGTGATCAATTTTTTATTTTTTCTTTGTTTTTCTTTCCTCTCTGCCTTTAAAAGGAAAAAAAAATTATCTAGATCATGCTAAACAAGGTTGCTTAAGATATGGTGTGATCAATTCTTGCATGTCGATGCAAGGATCATCCCCAAATGACATACCACTTCTCAAAGTGACCCTGTTTGCCATAATCTAGACTGATTCAGGCTGAGATAACTGGGTTGGCTAGTTGTACCCTCAGTTGTTCTAAGTGTCATGCAGTAACACTGGATGTATTCCTCCTCAGGATATCCCAGCCATCCCCATCACAACTACATTTCTGCAGAGAAACTTGCCATCCATCCCAGGATTCCTGGCCTTCCTTGGATTTTCTGCTTTCATCACCTCTTTGGCTGGAGCTGGAGTCTTTGCCTATAAAAAGGGACTTATCGCCCGAGAGTGTATCTGAAACAACAGTTGTTGCTTTCCTCTTCATGCTGAGAATGTTGTGTTTGGAGAGACCCTCTTTGGGACACCTGCAACAACATATCCAACCAAATTTAAGCCATGCCCTGTGAAGCAACAGAGGTTTTTCATCCCTAATTGATTTTACTTGGTTGAAAATCAGTGACCTTTCTCTTCCATCACTACCCCACCAATAAAACAATGAGAATAAACCAGAAGCGCAGCTTTGCACATTTCCTAATGCTTATGAAAAACTTCACCCTTAATTTTAAAAATCTTACAGTGAACAAATAAATGTTAAAAGATTTCTCTAGTAGCTTATTACACTAGATGCTGATTCTATCAAGTGCCTGTTGCTTACTGCTTTCTTAAACTGCAGAAGAACTGTAAATATATTTTAGCTATTTGGTGTTGCAAAACTCATCATGGGCTTGAATGAATCAAAATAAGTAATATTACATAATTTTAAAGGGAAATAATGAAATGAAAAGAAGATTCCAAGAAGTTGCATTGATAAAAGCAGAGAGAAGGGTGTGTTACTTGTTTTACAAGAACTGCTTTACAGGAAATGAGAGAGAGTCAAGTGTTTGGAAACATTATGATTTTGGACTAAGAATACTGGGAGTTGTAGTCCAACAACATAATTTTTTCGATCTCCAAAGTAGGATCCTTGTCTACTCCTCTGCCTGCTGTAACAAATGTAGAGTATTCCCAGTAGATGGCAACCCGGTCTTCACTTGGAGATGCCTAGTCAAGGTCATCCACCCTCCACCTCTTGAGGAGTTTGGCTGCATTGCTGAGCAACTCTTATTGTCAATACCTTTCTCCTAATGTCCAATGAAAACCTACCCCCTTGTAAATTACATCTGTTAAATATAATCCTGCCGTCTCAGCCAGTAGTAAAGATGCAAACTCTTGCCTTGTTTTGAGTGTTAGGCCTTTCGCTATTTGAAGAGTCTTCCATCCCTTTTGTTTTTGTTTGCACCCTTCTAAAATGCAGCTGCCAGGCATCAATTTTGCAAGCCAGACCTCATCTGGACATTGTGCTCCTGACTTGCAGAGACAAATATCTCCTCTACTGCAAATGAATTTGATGCTACTTTGCTTTCTTCTTCATTTTTAAACGAGTGAATTAGGAAGCACTTAGTTTAAAACAGAATCTAGGGACCCAGAGAGTGGTTGCCAAATACAATGCAGATAATGTTTTTCATTCTGGCACAAATGAATGTACTTCCTGCCCTTTATTCTTCCAGTAACTTTATGTGGTAGATTAAACTAAGAGACAGTGCCTTGGACCTTATAGTAGTAAGTCCCACTGAAATCAGTGTTTAAGTCAATCACGGCTACTTACATTATACTGATTACAGCAGGTCTTAATGTAGTTATGACTCTGACACCAATGTAGTTCCTAGCCCATGGTCACCTTGTGTGTGGATATGTTGAGCCCTGGCTTTCTAAATCTAAATCCAGCACTGAAGCCAAATTGGTAATGAACAGAGGTAAATGTAGCATACCATTCTCTAAAAAGAAAATAATGTATTTCAGGTAAACCAGTATAGATTGAAAATTACACTATTGAAGTATTCTGATAGGGGATTCAGATAGGTTAATGTTTTCATTGATAATTACATTTGCCAAATGCTAGAAATCATCTGTGCTTCTCCATCTCCATAATTTAGTGAAATGTGCCTTTTGAACATCACTTAAATTAGCATTAAAGTATCAATTTAAAACACTCCAAAGCATTCAAGCTGTGTTAATGTTACGACTTTTGCAAGACAAGCTGTTTGCTGTGAAGTACCCACTAGCTGCAAAGGCGCATACTCACAGCTCTTAACAGACACTTCGAAGCTCTACAGTGGTAGCTGTCGTCGTTTAGTTGTGTCCAATTTTTCATGACCCCATGGACCAGAGCACGCCAGGCCCTCCTATCTTCCACTGCCTTCCAGAGTTGGGACAAATTCATGTTGGTTGCTTCGATGACACTGTGCAACCATCTCATCCTCTGTCGTCTCCTTCTCCTCTTGCCTTCACACTTTCCCAACATCAAGGTATTTTCCAAGGAGTCTTCTCATGAGATGGCCAAAGTATTGGAGCCTCCGCTTCAGGATCTGTCCTTCCAGTGAGCACTCAGGTTTGATTTCCTTTAGAAGTGATAGGTTTGTTCTCCTTGCAGTCCAGGGGGCTCTCAAGAGCCTCCTCCAGCACCACAATTTAAAGGCATCAATTCTTCGGTGGTCTGCTTTCTTTATGGTCCAGCTCTCACTTCCATACATCACTTACAGGAAAAACCATAGCTTTGACTATTTGGACTTTTGTTGGCAAGGTGATGCTTCTGCTTTTTAAGATGCTGTCAAGGTTTGTCATCACTTTCCTCTCAAGAAGCAGGTGTCTTTTAATTTTGTGGCTGCTTTCTCCATCTGCAGTGATCATGGAGCCCAAGAAAGTAAAATCCGTCGTTGCCTCCATATCTTGGTAGCCATAGCCAATCTAAATGTTGTTGACCAGGGTTGAGAACAGAAGAAGGGGAATCGGGTGCCTGGATAGAAGGATGAAGGTCCTGGAGAGCAGCACTGGTGCATAGCCTTCTGAATTTTATGATTAAAACCTCATGGTCTCTTAATGTTCTGAGTATTCCCCTGCATTCATTCCGAAAGGGAATCTCTTGCACATGCTGTAGAGGTGCTTTTCTCAAAGTAAAGGCACAGCATATGATGCATGATCTTCCATGGTGGATAATTACATAATTAAAACATTAAACAAAACAGAGCTACCCCTTCACTGTTTGCCACATGAGCTTCTCTTCCTTCTTTTGCATAGCACAAAACAGCCCTCCATGCATTGTTGGCCCTGAACTCACAATATTGTGATCAGTGATCCTTCAAGTAGCCCACCAATGGTCAGCAAAGTGATGTCTGGAACTGATGTCCCCTATACAGGATTTCTTCTCAGGTGACCATGATCAGATCAGCCAGAATCAGTAGTGATAGGGAACTACTAATGGACAGAAAAGGAAGCGGCCTGGAATGGGAGGGACTTGCTGAGGCCTGTTCAATGTCTGCACCTCATCCAGATAGGGAGGAGCTTTTCCATAATGAGCAGCCTGCTTCCACACATAGAGCAATCATGCTGGCTTAGGGTATTCCTAAGAAGCCATTTAAAAACAAACGTGAAGTGGCAGTTGGTGGGATTTTCGTAATTCAAGTACTCCCAGTCCCGGAAATCACCTAGAATCTCCCAGGCCAATTTCTGGGACTGGGAGAGGGGAAAGAAAGCAAAAGAAAGGTCTTCCTATGGCAGTTATTTGCTTCACTATATATGCAGAAGGGAACACCCCTCAGTTGAGCGGCTTGCTGAATGTCACCTCACTGTTCCATGGGAAGAGTGTTTGCTTGTTTCTTGGTGTACCTCAAAAGTCGTCACCTAACTTTGAGATTTAGGATGCTACTGTCAGTCGCTATCATTAGTTTACCCATATTACTGCTAACTACTGCTGGATGATCTGCTGTGATGGTAAGACATCCTTCATAGGTATGTGGGCATGGAGTTCGGGAAGACTTAAAAAAAAAGGTAAGAGCAAATCCCCCAAAATACATGTAGTGAGTGCTGAGCTGGAGCCACTGTAACTTGAGAATCAGCCCACCCCGAAGTGCAATCTCCATTCAGGTTTGAGCCTTGTTGGAAGTCAAGCATTGCCAAAAGTGTGAGGGCAAAACTGAACTGTGTTGTATAAAAGAAAGGGGAGGGCACCAGGGGGTCTTCGCTTCCCTTTTGCCATTAGTGCCTCACAGTTAGCTAGCTTATTAGTTAGTTCATGTTCATAAATGATGGCTATTGCCGTCTGATTGATGACAAAACCACAGCATAGAAGATCTTTAACCATTTCGATTTCTTCACAAACCACATTAAAGTTACATAATTCTTCTGTAGACATTTTAAATCACATATTTATGCTGTAATTTATACCCTACTTTCCCCTTCCAGAGGTATTTTTGGTTAGCAGAACTCCAGGAAACATTATCTAAAACAAATAGTGATGCAATATATCATTAAAATGAGGAAGTAATAGTAACATGGCTCTCAGTTAAAAACAACATAAAAATACTGTACCTCAGGGAGCCAACCAACAGAACTCAGAACTGTAACAAAGTTGAAAGCTTGCCAGAGAGTCAAAAGTACTGTGTTTCCCCAAAAATAAGACAGGGACTTGTATTAATTTTTGCTCCAATAAACACATTAGGGCTTATTTTAAGGGGATTTTTTTCCATGTACAACAATCTATATTTATTCAAATACAGTCATGTCATCTTCTGGTTGCTGCATAATGGTGGAAGGCGGGGCTTCACTTAACTGGGGGTTATTTTTTGGGTAGGGCTTATATTGCAAATATCCTGAAAAATCATGCTAGGGCTTATTTTCAGGTTAGGTCTTATTCTTGGGGAAACAAGGTATGTCAGCGATCGTTTTTAAATTGTTGTTAAACTGTGGATAGAAAGTTTGCAAACATCTAGAACAATCTGTGGAGCTACCGAGCATCAATATGTGCAAGGATATGGATAAGCAAGCCTGAAATCAGTGCTTCATTTTTTCTGCCAGAGTCCCAAACCAGTTTTGCAGTATACTTGACTCATATTGGGCAGCATTTCCTCTCACAAACTTGGAGTAATTTGTGAATCAGGTTAGTAATAGGTATAGGATCTACAAAAGAATCTTCTTGACATTGTACAGAACTAAATTTTATGTGATACCATTAAATGGATTAATAGTAAGGTACACCCCTCCTCCAAATAAGTCCCTAGAGAGGTTGGGGGCTTTGAAGCTTTTTGTGATTAATGCATGAAACAATTACTTTGCATTCAGCTGGCTATAGCTGGAACAATTTTTATTAAAAGTCTAGTTTCTATGTTATAAGTTTTTGTCTGGGCTGCCCCCATTTTTACAGTTGTTTTGTAGAATGTCAGTTTGCTCTGCCAGCACCATAATATCTCTGCACTCTCATGCAGTGACAACACAGGGTGCTATGGAAATCTTTGCTTTTTGGTTCCTGTGATATGCAAAGCTGTGCAGGAGAACAACCAGGATATTTTCTGTAACAAATGGAGGTATATCATTTTTTTCCATCTAACCCTAAGTAACTGAAAGAATTCAGGGAATAAATATGGTGTGGCATTTTCTGTGGCAATTTAAAGTAGAACAAACACAATGGAAGAATTCTGTGTAGGTTTGAATTGTTGAATGACTGAAGAGAATTGTGGCACCACTGTGGAAAACAAATTAATATTACATTGCCTCTCCCCCTTCACCCCATGTTTTTGCATTACTGTTGTAACGATCCAGTTTAGTTTCCATGGTTACCTGGCCGTTGCTATGTACTTAAACACACTGTATACCAGAATGTTGAGCTGAATACACATGCAACTGAAATAGCTTTTGTTTTATTTGTGTGCGCACGCGCACGCCATAATCTCAAAGCCATTGGGAGAGTCCTCCAACTGAAGCAGATTTTTAACAAAAAAATTAAAAGTAATTTTGAGAACCAAGATCTTTGCAGGAAAGTTAAGGCACCACTGAAATGCATTAATGTTTCATATGCTGATAGTGTTGTGCACAGTTGATTCATCTTTGCTTGAATCAACTGTGAATTCTCATGACCTGAAAGATAGAAATCCTAAGAGAAAGTGATCTTGGACCAGCTCTTCCATAATTATAGCTAAAAAGATACCCTATCCCATGTTATAAATAAAATAATTTTCTTCAAACAAATAAAACTTCCAGAGGTTGGAAGAATAAATTCTTTTCTATTACAGTTCCTAGAATACTCCAGCTAACAAGGCTACCAACTAAGTTAGTAACTTTTCCATGCTTTGGAAATGCACAGTCTGGTCCTAAGAGATTAAAGAGAAAAGATGTCCCACTTAAAACTCAGTGGTTTAGCTATCTGGCTGTAGAGCCAGAGGTTGGTAGTTTGGCTCTTCACTGTGCCTCCCTGACTGGACTGAATGATCTCTCCACTGTGCCTCCCTGACTGGACTGAATGATTCATAGGGTCAATTCCAGCTCTACATTTCTAAGATTGTTGTTGTTGTTGTTGTTGATCAGAACTGACTGATAGCGAACCTTGTAGGGTTTTCAAGGTAAGTCAGATATTTAAAGAGCAGTTTTACCAGTTCCATACCTCCAGTGAGCTTCCATGGCTGAGTAGGGATTCAAACCCACGCCTCCGGAGTCCTAGGCTGTCACTCTATCCACTACACCAGTGGTTCTTAACCTTGGGTTACTCAGGTGTTTTTGGACTGCAACTCCCAGAAGCCTTCACCACCAGCTGTGCTGGCTGGGGTTTCTGGGAGTTGCAGTTCAAAAATACCTGCGTAACCAAGGTTAAGAACCACTGCATTACACCACACTGGGTAACCAAGATTATTATTAAGAAGAAATTAAAAGAAAGACACACATCTGACTCTTGCTTGCTATGATATGATATCATCATGAAGTAAGTGGAAACTTCAGTGTCCACCTGATTTTACTCTTGGGGCTGAAAATGCGCTTTGAGACTGAGCTTGCCTCCAATGCCAATGAACACAACTTTCTCCAAACAATTATTTGGATGGCAGCACTCTCACAATATAGCAGAGACTTTAATCCCCATCTTGTTTTGCTTTTGGGATTGGCAATGTGCTCTAAAGGTCAGTGTCCCCAGTGGATAGCACCTTAACTATTGATTGATTGATTGATTGAT